TTTCAATATCGGTCAATTAGATTGTCTGTAATTGAATTTTGAAGTAAAAAGGACAAAAAACACTTGTCGATATATATATATCAAGGCACATTAAACAGGTAGTATCAGTAGAGCAAAAACAACATTTGCGTGTATTTTGTTGTTGCTTCTGGTATCGAAAGTGTCAACAACTGTTCTGAATTTTTTCTTCTAAATCAAAGCGTGCCATGTGAAATACAAAAAATTATAAAAAATAAAAAATTGAAATTGGAAAAAATAAAAATTGATGCAACTTTCTTTCCTAGTAAATTTGTTTGCTTCTCGAAGCATTGATCCATCCTTTGCAAGGCCCAGTAATCAGCGGTCGTGCTGCCGAGTTGGGCGAACGTTCCAAAAGCTGCTATTCAATCGCTTGTTTTGTATGGAAAAAGGTTTCACAAGCAAATGGATTTTAACATATAATTTTCGTGAGAAAAAATTAAAAATATTTGACATTTTCGAGACCAAATAATTTGAAAATAAATCAAATCAGCTGCTCTACTGATACTACCTGTTCAATGTACCTTGATATATATATATTTTTGTTATAATATGTACATATTTATTTATTGAATCTTTTTTTCGAAACTAACAATAAGTTTTCAAATCTTACAAACTACCATTAAATGTAAAATTTCTGCGGCAATGCTTAGAAATTTTTGAATTTTTTTAAATATATATTTATTGCAGTTGTTACAGCTCTCGGAATGGACAATATTCCGGGCAGCAGGATAGCTGGATATCGTGCTGGGTAGACAGTCTGAAAGGACGAGTTTCAGAGCCGCACGGCCTGGGCGGGTGGAAAGGACTAGTTTCCCACTCCGTCTGTCGATGCGTCACATTGGATATAGAAGCGTCTGTTGAAGTCCGGATGAGTCAGTAACTTTGTTTGAGCTTCTCAAAGGAAACTTTGGCCTCCTCAGTCATCGTAAACTTTTTGATTTTGTCTTTTGAGAGGCAGTCGTGCAGCTGAGCTGCAATGGTCGCATAATCCTGGATAAATCGACGGTACCAATCCAACATGCCCAGGAACCGTCTTAGCTGTTTTGGGGTCTTAGGTTCGGGAAAGCCCCTCACAGCTGCAACCTTGTTGGCACCCGTTCTGATACACCCATCACCGACTACGTAGCCGAGACATTGCACCTCTTTGTAACAGAACTTGCTTTTTTCTACGTTTATTGTCAATTTTGCATCACGCAAACATCGAGCGACCTTTTCTAGCAAACATATATGGGACGAGAAATCTTCTGAACACACTTAACAAATCGTCTAGATAAACAAATACACATTCACGTAACGAAGCGGGTATGACCTTGTCCATTAAACGACACATTCTTTGTGCCGCGCTGCACAGTCCAAACGGCATGACTGTGAACTGGTACAGTGGTCTACCAGGCACATAAAAGCAGTATTTTCTCTCGACTTGGGTTCTAAAGGAATCTGCCAGAACGCGTCCTTTAGGTCAATCGGGGTATGAACCTGGTATTCTGGAGTCTTCTGAGAATTCCGTCTATGTGTGGGAGGTGATATGCGTCCTTTATTGTCCTTTCATTTACCATACGGGCATCTAAACAGAGGCGATTTTTCGTTCCTTTAATCACCAATAAGACCGGTGAGCTCAAGCAACTATTGGACTCTTCGATGACTACCATGCTCAGCATTCGGTCGAGTTCAGCATACACTAGTTTTTGTATGGCCGGCGAAATCGGGTAGTGCTGCTGCTTAACTGGCAGATTCTCGCTAGTTACCTCAATAACGTGTTGCAAATGAGGGAAACTGGGATTTCACCCATTCCAATGCGCTCGTCTGTTCTGATGTCAGAACATGTTGCACGGCATCGAAGGATAATCACCATCGGCGGGAACGAGTTCGGAAACGCTAGCATCATTCACACCCCCATTCATTCCCTTGCCCACAACACTCATTCCAAAAGCTAACCAGAAGTCGATACCTAAATACACCTCTTGTTGAAGACCAGGTACTATTAAAAACTCTAATTCCTTGTTTGGTTGTCCCACAACACTGGTAACTTGGTGGCTCCCACTACGGCGGTCTCTCCTCCGTTAACTGTTTTAATATTCTGTCCCCTGATTGGCAGAATCATATTTTATTTACCTTTCAATAGCACATTTGCGTTCTTTCTTAAATAGCTAGCACCAGCACCGGAATCCAGTAGGGCTAACACTTCGTACCCCCCAATCGTGGTCTTGGCAAAGAACCTATTGTCTCCTTTAAGGGTCACTATAGTGGAAATTATTTTATTATAAATTCTTTTCAAATTCTTCTTTTCCCTCATTTTAGCTTTTTTCTTAAAGTTCCTATGTTTTTTCTTCTTACCTACTATTTCTTCCAAAAATATTCGCCTACGCGGCTCCTCATATTCCACCTTTCGCTGATGTAAACTTTTTATTTCCTGTTTTTTTGCCCGACTTCATTATTTTCCTTAACTTCAGTTTCCTTTTCTCTTTTTAATACCGTCATTTCTTTGCCTCCGGGCTGCCAATTTCCGCCGTAGGACACACAGATGCGGACGTGGACGTAGTAGAACAGTTCTTCACTGGGAGGGAGTGTTGTGGTTTCCTATCAAGTTTGTTCCTATCAAACGCTTCTAATATTAGCGAATGTAGTGAAGTTTCACTCTCGGAAATGTAGTGAAGTT